ATAAGTTCAGACTTTAGAAAGTGGGTGGTGCATTTCTCCTTGAAGCATGTATCGAGAATACACTGATCCTCAGGGATTCTTCTCTTCATCCTATGCAACAGCAGTCAGTACTTCCTTGTCAATACCCTTAATTGTATAACAATTCTGTCTTCAAATAATTATTGAAATCTATAACAACAGCAGGTAAAAGAGATGCAGGTTTTCAAATAAAAGATTCTTTACTCTCTGTCTACCAGAATTATCTTAGGAAATTTTACCTTCGTGACTCTAAAACAAAGGAGGTCAACAGTTTAGTGGTCAAACTCAAAGAGATGCAGAAGTTCTTTGGCCTGCCTGTGACTGGAGAGATAACCCCCCGAATCGTGGAAATAATGCAGAAACCCAGATGTGGAGTGCCAGATGTTGCAAAATACTCACTAATACCAAACAGTCCAAAATGGTATTCCAGAGCTGTCACCTACAGGTGAGGCTTGCTTTGGCTCCTTCTGATGGCGGCAATGAAGCCTTTTTCCTGAGAATTCAAACCCTGTCTTCCTGTGTATTGTCAGAATCATGTCCTATACGCCAGACTTACCAAAACTCGTGGTGGATCAAATCGTGGCAAAAGCTCTGAGAATGTGGAGTGAGCAGATTCCACTGTGCTTCATAAGGGTGAGGTGGGGGACTGCAGACATCATGATTGACTTCGCGAGCAGAGGTAAGGACTGCTACTGTGAGGATTCAGGCACTATCCTGGCCTGCCCCTGTCACCTGGCAGAATGCACTCAGGCAGTGCCCTGGTCAGCCCAGGGTTCCATGGTTGCATAGTCTGTCCCTTTAAAAGAAAGACCTCTGCCCACTTATGCTATCTCTCTTTCTGCTCTCTTTCACTGCTCTCTTCCCTCCTCTCTTTCTGCTCTTTTTTTCCTGCTGTTCTCCTGGGGCAGACAAGACTTTTCCTGTCTCCTTCTCTTCTGTCCTCTCTCTGTCTCTGTGTCTCTTTACCTCTTTCCTCCCCTCTTCCTCCCCTTTCTAATAAAACTTCTCATTAAGCTCTGTCTGCCTGGCACGTTTGTCCCTCCGCCTTGATCACCCTTGCCTGCCATGAAGCCAGCCAAGGTCCCCACACATTTTATTCCTAACAGCTACTGCAGGCTAATCCTGTGTACTGCTTTACCTGTTTACTATTTGTATCAGTGTCTCCTTTCAAGATTTAAACCCTCTCATGAGCACTACAGAGGGCTCTTATTGGTGAAACACATGTTTAACATATGAGAGGCCTTGGTTTCAATTCTCAGCATCACACACACACAAACACACACACACACACACACACACACACACACAAGCTCAATATTTCAAGGTCTTGACTCCAGTGAGCCTTCCACACATGGTGGTCACCAGTGCTGAGCAGTAGATCTAATGACAGACAGGTGCCTGGACTAGATCCACAGCTCATCCTGTTTGTGGGAAATTGGCTATAGGTATCAGGAAGTCAACTAACTGGACTGACATCTCTCTCCAATCTGCATAACTATGATTGGGAGAGATGAAATGACCAGAGAAAAACTGAGAAATTAACAAAAATCACTGCATTGTCTTGCAGATCATGGAGACAACTACCCATTTGATGGGCCAGGAAACACTCTAGCTCATGCCTTTCCGCCTGGGCCAGGCCTCGGAGGAGACGCTCACTTTGACAAGGATGAATGCTGGACAGACGGTACTAACACAGGTAGAGTATCCTATGTCTCTTCTACAGCATACCTTTGTAGAAACCCCAGACTTACACCAACTTTAATTTGATCATTGCTTTAATTATAATAATTAGAGACACCTTAAGTGCCAACTACTGGGGTGTATGCTGTAAATATTTTATCTCATTTAATATCTTCTTTTTTAAAAATTGTGGTATTTGTGGGAAACCACATGGTACGGGAGATGTGACTCTCACAAGTTGTCCCTTGACCTCCATACATGTGCTGTGGCACACACACATACACACTCACACACACTCACATACACACACACAGAGAGAGAGAGAGAGAGAGAGAGAGAGAGAGAG